CGCCCTGGCGTTGGCCGTGCTTAAAGCGCCCCCAGGCAGACGGGGAAGCGGCCTGAGGCAAGCTGATGGCCGTCCGCAGGGTGGAGCAGTGATCGGGTGGGTTTTCTTTGCTCTGCAGCCTACTACAGGTTCTTGGTGCTTTTCTTCAACTGCCTCCTGACCTTCGGCTCTTACTTCTGTTTCGACATCCCCAGTGTCCTGCAGGATCAGTTTCAAGGGGTGAGTGCTGCGGGTTTGCAGGCAGCGAGGTCGCCCTTGCGAGGGCGGCGTGGTCGCCGAGGAACGGTCAAAGCAGCAAAGCAGAGGCTGGGAGCTACCTGACCTACTAAAGAGGTTGTGCTGTGTTGGAGGTGCGTTTACAGCCCTCCGCAAACAGAAGATGCCAGGAATTGAGCGTTATTGCCTAAACTGGACTGAAAGCCTGGGGGTGTTGGAGGTGCGAGACTAGAAAAGACTTTTTGGGTCTCCAAATCCAAACTTCCCGATACGGCAGGTATCACAACTAACGTGTGTTTGCTGGGTGAGAGGCAGAGCAGTGCCGTGAGATCACGTGCAGGCTGTAAGGACGCTGTAAGGTAAAGATGAACAGTATCCACAGATCCTGGAAAATTTTGTTCTTCAGGGTTCAAACTGATATCCCAGTTAATTTCTTTTACAGTCCATCCCGAAATAACAGACTCCAGAAAATCTTACCTGAATTCCTGAATACCTAAAAATCTTACCTGGAGGAAATTCTTACCTGAAGTTCATTTGTCTGTCATTATTGCAAGTTGTTTAATGTCTTTGAGAGAGGTGATTTTCCTCATGTGTGCAGTCTGCTGGCAGGCTAGTACGTCAGGCTAAGATTCACTGCCCTGTTCTTTGCCTTCTTCAACACCAAGGGCAGCATTAAATTTAGCTTGCATGTAACTTTTTTTTTAACAGGTAGTTAATCTGTTAAACTGTTCAGACAGTGAATTTCAGGCTAAATTGAATGCAGTCTGTTACTGCTTTACAAGGAGAGTGCTGACGTAAAAAGAAAAAAATAGGTCCGTGTTTATTCCTTGTTCCTCCACAACTTCTATAGGTCTGTGGGAGAACGGTTCATTACTTATTTACGGAGTAAAGGAGAGGTTATATATATGTATATATATTTAGGTATAAAGTATTAGGTAACTTTTGGGGCAGTGAAACCAAACCATTTTTTTTTCTGTTTTAGGTGCTATGCAAACAATGTTTTGGTCTGGTAACGCTCTCATTATATTTCTTACTCCAGGGAATTTAGCCCATACTAGCCTTACGTGAGTGGTACAACGGTAGTGTGAACACCTAAGGCCAGTGCTTGCAATGAAAACAGTTTATTCTAGAGAACTGTTGCCTGCAGCCTTGGAAATTTCTACTGCAGCAGCTCTAAACAGCTTGTAATACTGACGGCTATTAAAAATCATGCAATACTAGTCATAACGTTACAATAACTAAGAGGCTGTGTGCCTTCCTTACACTTCCTCAAAGCGCTACACTTGTGCGTACTGCTGTGGAAGGCCTAGCGTTTATTTCCTAAGAGGGGTAGATCTTTAGCAGCTGGAAAATCTAGTTCTTCCTTTCCCCATCATATCATGTAGTGTTGAGGAAATGTTGCTTTTCAGTAGCAGAAAGAACCTTATTAAATCATGCTAGGGCTACCCGTTTCCAGCTGTTCAGCAAAAGCTTTATGGCTGTGAACTAAAATGGAATACTGTTAAATTTTATGTTTACACGCTGGTTAAAACCTCATAGTATGTTATGAGGAATCAGAACAAGCTAAACTAGAGCCAAGAGAATAATGGAGCAAATAAATCTCGTAGTGTAGTCTTGGCCTTTGTTTTGGACGGAAACATGTATAGAAGTGCTGAGCCCCTGCAGGTACTCCACAGTAAAAGGAAAGGGAAGATGTACTGATAGTCAGGCCTTTCTGGGCTGTTAAGGGTTGGCTCCCTGGGAGAAGACACAAGCCCTCTAATTCCTGGTCACGGAAGTAGGAACTGAGTAGGAGAAACAAGGATCGAGCAGGAAAGAACTTAACTTCCTTCATCTTTACAGGGGACCTGGGAATGCTTGAGTTTTTCTCTGTAGCTCCTATCTGCTTTCTAACACAGATTCTTGGGCTTGTTATGCAGAACTTGACCTGCCCCAATGGAACCCATCATAACAGCACGGGGCATAATAGCACGTTGGATTGCGTTGAAGGCTTGGGAATGACACCTGCACAATACAATTTGCTCTATGCCATCTACACTTGGACGTAAGTCACTTTTCTCCTACTTTGTGGGGATGGGGTAGTTGGTTAGTTGTTTCCTAGGACCAAACCCCAAAGATTTCGTTTCTTGTTTTCTCTTAGAAACGCAGTAGTGGTGATTCTGGCTGGATTTCTGATCGATAAACTAGGAAATCGCTGTAAGTTCTGAGGACTGATTAACTTATTCTTGTACTGAAGTGATATTTCAAGCTGTCCTTTCAGGGCAAAGGACGGATCAAAGATTCCATTTCAGTAAGATCTTACAGGGGTGGGAGCGGAGGAACGGCTTTGTGTGACGGGGCCCAGGATTTTAGTAGATTTGCTGCGTGAATTCAACTGAGACCTTTTCATCCTTTGACCACTGGCTTATCTGAATTTACACAGCAGTGCAGTAAACATGCTTTCCTCTAACACAGATATAACAGGGAATAAATAGCGTTACCTGTTTTTGATAGGACAAACTGATAGTGTTCTGTTCCCTGCTCTGACACTGTTCTGGTATGTGGTATAATGTAAGGCCTAGCAATCCTAACAAATGCAGTTATGTTCTGCCTCTGTGTCGCACAGGTAAGCGTCTTATAGATGAGGAGATAGAGGCATAGGGACAGAAATGATTTGCTATAAGCCATAGACCATAGTGGAGCACAAGGTAGGAACTGCCGCTTTAGAGTGCTCCTGACTCTTCTACCTCTCTAAGCTTCCACCTGAGTAATATCTTAGTCATTTTGATGACTTAGTCAAAGTAATATCTTAGTCATTTATTCCCACAAATTCTTTACAGAATTAATAAGTAAACTGATGGAAGCTCACAGGTTTACCTCCCGTTTTGAGGTTGATCTTTTTTAACAAAGAATGCTTTTGTCCTGATGTCAGCATGTCTGTTGAGGTTTGTGGTTTTTTTTTTTTTTTTTCCTCTTCTGTTTCTCCCTAGTTGGTGTCTTTGTTTTCTCCCTTCTGACTGTGCTGGGATCATCGATCTTTGCTCTAGGCTCTCATTTCAAGGGGTCACCCTATCTCCTGCCACTGATGCTGACAGGAAGACTGCTCTTTGGCTCTGGAAATGGATCACTGACCAGTAAGGAATTCACATTTTATTTAGGCCTTACCAGAGAGTCACGACAAGTCTATATTTTGCCTCCTAGACGCTTGTCCCAGCAGTCAGCTTCACCTGCTCTGCACCAGGAACCTATGTGGGTAACAGAAGAACGCTGCTCCTGGAAGGGTTACATAACACTTCGTGTGCCCTGAAACGTTTAAGTCTTTCACTCTAGTTTGTCCTCCTCCCAAGAATAGGAGCTGTCGTACCAATGCTATGCCTTTGGGGGCATTATTTTTGCCTTTCCTTATTTGAGGGGCAAGTTCTCCTCCCATGTCCCAGCATGCTTAAGTAATCTTAAAAATAACCTGCCCAGCTGACAAGCAGTACCTCCACTTGTGGCGCTCAGAGGTCTCTTCCACCAGCTCCAGTGGTGGAAGCTTCTCAAGTTCTAGCTTGAGAAGCTATGTTCATTGCTCCTGTGTAATGCTCTTGACCAGGTCTATCTGCTCAAGAGAGAATTTCTTTTCTTCTCCAAGTTGTGCAGAATCGTATCACAGCCTTCTGGTTCAAAGGGAAGGAACTGGCACTGGCATTTGGACTGACCCTCTCTTTCTCCCGTCTTGGAAGTGTCCTCAACTTCTTCTTCACCCAGCAGTTTGAGACGCGCTTTGGAATACAGTGGACGCTCTGGGGTGGTGAGTTTCTTTGGGTCTTTGGCTTTCTGTCCTCTAGGCCCGAGTCTAGACTGTTTAGTCCAGTTAGTCCAGAACATGAAAGAGACAATGAAGACAGCAGAAGGAGGCATGTTGTTTTCCAGCCACTTTTCCCTGCTGCTTTCCGTTACTGGTTTGAGTGTGCAGTGGAAAGGTGCTTTCTCCATTGCTGCCAGAAAATCCTCTCTAAAGCTGTAGGGTTTGCCTTACAGCTTTGTTTGCAGCACATTCCCATGATATTTTAACATCTGCAGTCATGAATAACCAATACTTAGTGTACATTTACTTCCACTGAGTGAATAGAAACACAAGAGTGAAACGAGAGGAATCTAACACTTTTTTTCTTTTGTTTTGTGGCCAGCAAAATACCACTGTTCTGAATATTGGTCTCAGCATAACTTGTCTTGCATATGAATAGATCTAAGATGTAGGTTTAAGTTACTGTGAGAAGCAGAATCCGCTTTACATGTTTCTTAGTGTGAGTCTGTTCTAGGGCCCTTATCTTCTGAAGATTTGGGTTTCTGTCCTCTCTTCTGTGCAGTGAGATAGAATCTATCTTTAGTGGAAGGGATGATCTGGGGTCAGAGTACAGTTAAGTAGCAGCACTTAGGTACTCTGGTATTTTAGAAATGCCTGGCAGTGGTGGTATTAGGGAGACCTGCCTTGTGACATCCCTTGTATACAGTCAGAGACTTAGTGATTATCGGAGAGAGTTATTTCTCAAATAACAAAACAGTATGGGCCCTCACCAATGGAGAAGAGGATACATGTGTGAGAGAAACCTACTGCAGGATTTAAAAGCCCTGTTGTTCTCCTCTGCTTATTTCAGCTCCCAGGGAGAAACTCAGTCAGGCATGGCCTGCGCATCCCATCTGACATGGCAAATACCGCCTGAACACAAAATTTAACAAAGATAGAGCAGCAACTTCAGTAGCCCGTGAAAGCATAAATACACCACTCAAAGTGCATGTGCACCACGGATTGTTTTGGCTCTCTGGAAAAACAAAACAGAGCTCTTATAAAAAGAGATTTCATCTGCAGCAGATAGCTTTTGCCGAACTCACTTCTGGCACATCCAGCATAATCTGACTCACTTCTCTGGAGCTGGGCTTGCTTGATGGCCAGGTTGCTGTAGTAACTGCAGTTGGTTAAATAAAAGGCTTCCAATGCTAGCCCATGGGTGATAACCTCTCCTGCTCGTGGAGCCATCGAAGTCTCTTAAGTTACTTTTGGTTATTTTAACCTTGGGTTTGTTGTGCACAGACTTTCTGCTATGTAGAAAGAAGGCATTCTGGCCATAGTCCAACAGAGAGACTTCCTTGGAGATGGATGGGGCTCTAGTTTCACAACCCCCAGGCAGTTTACTCCTGCAGTTCCAGCATATGGTCTGCCATGTTTGGAACAAAGATGAGCTTGCATCAGCCTGGGTTCGTAAGCGTGGAAACCCTTGCACTCCAGGGCAAGTCTTGCATGCTTCATTTTTTTAAGCAATTGAAGCCACAAAGTGGAATAAGTAAACACCTTTAAGGCGGGATAATGGTGACTGATGGAGGGCCATAGAAATTTAGTGGACACATTGCTTGAGGACTGTGTCTGACAGTTGTTAAGAGGTAAATGGTTCCACTAGATGTCTGCAGTAGGGAAGGATGTTAACATTAAGAGAAGCCAGGAATATGAGTCATAGAGAATTCTGCACCTTACATGCAGTTGGTTCTGCCATTCATCTCTCTCCAGTCTGAGGAATTTCTACAATCTGTTCTGTGTTTTCCAGGTACTCTGCTCTGTGTGCTTGGTTTTGTTTCAGCCATCACAGTCAGTGTGCTAGATAAAGTGGGCATGAAGCAGCTTGGCTTGGATGGGGTTATCCAGCAAGAATCCAAAAAAGTGGTATGTAGTGCACAGACAGCTTTTTCCCTCTCAATCTTTGGAGGGATGAGGTGGGTGTCTATCAAGTGCATAGTAAGAGCTGTTTATGGCTGGAAGAGGGTATTAATGGCACTTTGTAAAATCTTGCATAGTTGTTCTTCAGGTAAGCCTGAGGATATTGCATGTGCGAGCCACCAGACAAATAGAAATTATTTTTGTTTAGAGCATATGTATTTCTGGCTTTCCAGAGAGCTGACTTAGCACTTACGTGATGTTACTTTTTTTGAGCCAGCTGCTGCTTGACTGTAGGTGGCTCAAGGGAGGATTTGTTTGTGGATAAAACTAGATACTAGCCTCTCTCTGGAACTGCTTGCTGGTTCATGGGAGCCATGACACAAAATAGCTAACCTGGTCGGTAATGGACCATCTTCAGCCAGCTCTTATCTTCCATTCCTCTTTGTGTTCTTCAGTCTAGGAGTAAGCATTACAAGCAGCAGGTTGCAATGTTTATGGCACTTAAATCTATTACACAGCTCCCTTCTCATGACAGAATTACTGATTTTTGTATCCCCAGTATTGTGTCTTCAGTTATGCTGTGTCTTTTCTCTGTATTTCACATAGGAGTTTGCAATAGGTTCTGAATAGAGCCTGCTCAGAATAGTCTCTTGCAGCCATAACCTTTAAAAAATAAGAAGAAAGAGGTTTGTTTTGTCTTGTTTTGTTTTATTTTACGGTGTGGTTGAAGAAGGGATGCTCTGGAGTCACAGCACATGCCGAATTTCCTCTTAGAGGTGCACGAGCAGCCTTTTAATCCCCTTCTACGGGCTGTTCCTTCTTAAACCTTTTGTGACCTTGGATAGCTTTTAGAAGGGGACATCTGTTTGAAGTTGAGGACTATTTCCTGTTGAGTGAGGGCACGTCTTTTCTTCGCAGCGGATTCAGGACATCCGACGTCTTCCCCTTCGCTACTGGCTCCTGGTCCTCACCATCATGTTCTTCTACAATGGAGTCTTCCCCTTTGTGGCGGATGCCAGGTACCAGCCCTATGGCCGTAGTCCCACTGTCTGATAGAAGCCCATGAGTCTTGCAGCTCTTGGTTTTTAGTCGGATGGGAAACCTCGCTCCTTCTGCTCAAGAAACACAGGGAAGCATATCTTTAATGCTTGTTTAAAGAATATGAGAGTTCTTTGACCTTTCTTTCCCTTCAAAGACAATCTGAGATGAACGAGGCTTCTGAAACAAAGTAAAAGTAACTTAGAAGGAAAAGCTGCATCCAATATTTAAGGCTGGGAACACTGCTAAAGGAGAAACAGAGATTTGGGAGAATGGGAATAATTTTATTTTATTTTTTTTATAAATAGCCTATAGACATTTCACTTTTGCAATAATCCAGTGAAGTGGCTGTCTTTAGAGATGGTGGGGCTGTAGCTTCCCAGGCCCCATGCAGTTCTGTCTTGGTGTTCCTGGCTATGGTCTGCTGTGTTTGGAACAAAGCTAAGCTTGCATCAGCCTCGATTCCTAAGTGAGGAAACCCTTGCACCCCAATGCAAGTCTTGCAGACTTCATTTTTTCAGTTTCATTTGCTTAAAACAAAGAAGCAACCTGCCTGACTGAATTGGGACTCCTGCTTCTGTCCTTGGCTCTGCCACAAGCTGTCGTTTTGCTGCCTCCTTTGTGTTTGTAAAACGTGGATAATGCAGCTTCTAGCACATAATGATTGTGAACTTTAACGCTAGCAAAAGCCCTGGAGTGAAAATATGAACATTTATTTTGTTAGCATTTCATTAGTGATAGTAAGCTACCCAGAAGTCTGGAGTGAAGAATTGTTGTAACAAGCACACAATTAGGCTCTTAACAGTAAAATAAAGACATTAAAGATGGCAAGGATTGTCAAGGCCTTGATGAGATGGGCTTTCCATGAATTGCCTTTTCCTTTCAGCTGGAAATAGTCCCTGTCAGTCACACAAAATCCTGATTCCTGCAATTCTGCCTACATCATTCTGTTGGGGAGCAAAAATCCAGGCACCAAGAACTGTGTTTCAAACATTTTTTTTTTGGCAAATAATGCCATGCTGCTTTCCAGTAGGAAAAATTATGGTCCCGAGGCCTCTGATGTTTGGTGAATTCTTTTGCAGTAAATCTTCAGGGGGCGTGGTCTCATTTCCTACTCTGATGACAGCACAGACTCTAAAGGCTAATTATTGCTAATATAGTTAGTAACCAAATTAGGTTTAAGTAGGTACGAGATTTCTAAATAGACTAGTGTCTCAAAGCTGTTGAGTTGTGACTGTAAATTCTGTAAAGAATTTGAGAAAGCTTTTATGCCGTTTTTGTATATCTCCAACAAAGGTGAAAGGCTGACATCCTCACAATGAAAACAAAACTTAGTTTATGTTCCCTGCTTTAAATAGGTCTCCTAATAGATGCCAAAGAGCAAAAGGGGGATTTCCTGTAATTTTAACATATAGTTGTTTAATTTCAAGGCTGATCTTCCCTGATGGGTTGTTTAAATGAATTTGACTTTTAAATGTTTTCCTGCCCCTCAGCATTCTCGTTCCACTATTGAGAAAGCTTTCTGCCTCTTCAAAGAGAAATGTAAGAAAAATCAGTTTGTATGTTTTGGGCAGGTGATTGCAAATTTCTGCTTGTGAGCTGTGCTGATGTAATTGCGCATATGCGCTATTTTAACCTGCAGTTTTACTCTGAACTTGCAAAAGAGTCTTGAAAGTGGTGATTTAAACCAAAAACTTCTCTATGATGTGCATCAATTTAAAAAAAAAAAAAGAAAACAAACGATTGGACCAGACTGAGCTTGCTTGCAAGTCCTCTCATTAAAACCTCTCCCTCTCTATATGTTTGTGCTCAGACTTACTTTCTGCCAAAATAACCAGATCAAGAATCCTAATTATGTAACTTTTTTCTCCTTCATTTTATTTTTAGCAAGTTTATCCAGGATAAATATTCTGGTTACAGTCAGCAGGCAGCCGCTTATATTGCTGGGGCAGTGTACGACAGCTCCCTTGTTCTCTCTGCAGCGGTGGGCATACTAATTGTGAGTATCCAGAAACAGAAGTGCAAGAGCTCACTTGTTGGAAAAAAAAATGTGTTCAAAAAATTGTGTTCAAGCTTTCTTTTATTTTAATTTTCTGAAACATCTTTGTTACAAACCCCACACCCAGAATTTAGCCTGTTGTTGCCAAACAAGCAGGTTTGTAATTCCTTGCAACCTGCAAGATGCATTTCTGTCTGAATTAAATTACAAGAAATAAAGTTAACCTGTTTTTCCCTTCTGTTCCCTAATTCTGCTATGGTTGCAAACCATACGGTCCCAAACGTTGGGAAGTGGCTGCATGTTGTCAGAAGCCTGAGATGGGAATAGAAAGAGCTGTTATGGATCAGGATAAGCTTTGCAAGTAGATGGGAAATGACAACTTGCACCTAATCAGTCCGTTTTGTCCAACTCTTCATCTCCTTATTTCCATAATTGCCAGGATACAATAGTATCTTTTTCTCTCACTCTTTGATAAAGCCTGGAATTTCACGTGAATGTTGGACACTGATTCTCTGACAAGTGTTTCAGTCTCAGTTCATGAGTATGGAAGAGGAACTAGGAATAGTTCATCTGCCACGTTATCAACTGCTAGGAAATGACATGTTACTGTCACTTACGCTAGCCCACTTTGGTCAGCTGCTCATGTCAAGGAGAGTGCTAGGATCTGTGGGAAGCAAGGGATCCCTTGTAATAGGTCTTCTGTTTGTTTCCTTTACAGGACTATGTTGGACTGAGAGGCATCTTTGCTGTTGGCTGTGCTGCATTTACTCTGCCAGTCTTCGCTCTCCTGGCATTTACGTTTGTCCCTCCACTAGTTTCTACTATCTGGTTGGGGATTACTTACTCCTTTGCTGCTGTAAGTTCACAAACCCCATTGCTTTAGTTGTTTCATGGCTGTGCCCTTTCTACAGCCTATCCAGTCCTGTTTAGCAGGTGTAACAGTTGCAGTTTGAAGTCTTTGGCTCCCCAAACTTGAAGAATTGATTAGTAACAAATACCCTCGAAGAATCAATATGGAGTAAAACACAAAACAGCGTATGGAACCATTCAATACAGCGTGAAGCATTAAACTGTTTTTCATTTTCCTGGAGTTTTTTCACCTGGAATGTAAAACCTGAATATCCTTCCAGTCCTGTGAGCTATGTCATCAGCTGTAACTCCACTTTAGACATCTGGAGACATTCCAGTTTGAAACCGCATGCCTTGTCTACGCTACCTCAAGCGGCTAGAAAAGGATTTGGAAGGGGCTAGAGCCTGCTGATAGGCTGAGAAGGATAAATGGCAGGCTTTTTTAGGAGAGAGTGTAGATGTTTATTTAGTGGGAATAATTCTTTTTCAAGCAGATGGCTATCTGATGTCTTTAGATAAGGCTTGAGTTAATTCTTCCCTTTACATTACTCTTACCAGGCTAGCATGTGGCCATCCATACCTCTTGTGGTTCCCCAAGCAACTTTGGGGACTGCCATGGGGCTTGCAACTTCTGTGCAGATGATTGGAATTGGCCTTTCAAATCTGATTGTCGGACACATTCTAGGAACAAAGTCCAGGTGAGAATGCTTTTTTTTTTTCCTTCTTTTTGTCTAAGGTGAGACCATTAACAGTGCTTCAGTGGAGTGGTGTGAACTGTAAACAGTCTCTTTGAAACCTGATGCTGCAAGTGATGCCTTAAGTGTCATGAAGTGACTAATTGTTCTATCCCTTTTTGGCTTTTTATTTAGTGAATTAAAGATCCCACTGTGGCGCTGGCAACAGATGATGATCTTTATGTTGGCAAACACTATTGCATGTATTGTTGCTTCTGTTAGTCTCAATGTGGTGGACAAGAAACAGGTAAGTATGATAAAAGTTGAAGAACAGCCTTATAGCATGAAGTCTTCTAGACTTGATTTGATTGTTGTAATATATGTTAGATGTGTTTATAATTAATCCCCCCCAACACAAAAAAAGGATTGCATAAAAATAGGATTACATAAAAAAAGGAAGCACACAGAATGTGGAAAAGGGGGCAGGCCACTTGGTGGGAGGAATACAGGGCTGTTGTCAGAGTGTGCAGGGAAGCGACAAGGAAGGCTAAGGCCCAGTTGGAATGAAATCTGGCAAGGGATGTCAAGGACAACAAGAAGGGCTTCTTCAAATACATCAATAGCAAAAGGAAGACTAGGGAAAACGTGGGCCCACTGCTGAATGGGGCGGGTGCCCTGCTGATGAAGGATACAGAGAAGGCAGAGTTGCTGAATGCCGCCTTTGCTTCAGTCTTCACTGCTAAGGCCATTCCTCAGGAATTCCAGACCCTGGGGACAAGAGAGGAAGGCTGGAGAAAAGGAGACTCTCCCTTGGTGGAGGAGGATCAGGTTAGAGATCTTTTGTCCAAACTGGACATCCCTAAATCCATGGGCCCCGATGGGATGCACCCACGAGTGCTGAGGGAGCTGGCGGATGTTATGGCTAGGCCACCCTCCATCCTCTTGGAAAGGTCCTGGAGATCAGGAGAGGTGCCTGAGGACTGGAAGAAAGCCAGTGTCACCCCAGCCTTCA